TTTTCCCCCCATTGACCTCCTCCAGCCTGTTCCCACCCTCCACCCCAGGCCCTCACTGCCCCATTGTCTGTGTCCATGGGCCATGCATATATGCATACAGGGTCCTAGGTTGATTACCTTCCACTCATCTACCCCCCCTACTTCCCTCTGAGATTCCGCCCTCTGTTTCATTTCTTAATGTAAGCAATTAAAAACCAAGGACAAGTGCTCATTGTTTGAGCCCCACAAGGAAAGCTAAAATTTGCTATTTGCTGTCATCTTTTAGACTGAATCATTTAAACAAGAATTTACTGTTTTTTTATTTCAATGTAATACTTGCTAAATGTAGGTTTTGTATGGTCTTTGATCGGAAATCATCAAAATGCATTAGAGGACAAAAAGTCTTACATTTAAAAATATTTATACTTATAATATATAATAGGATGAAAAACCTGTTCCCTGTGGTCAGTAAAATTACAATTGATAGCCAGTTCAAATCAGGTATACAGCCAATTCTCAGTCGGTTATATATCTAAATAATTTCTGTATCGTTTTGTCCCCAGGTGGCAGAGGGCAGGCCCAATCCCTAGGTGCAGCCCCTGGTCAGGCTCAGAGCAGGGCCGATTGGGGAGTTGGGGCGCCGCCTCGTCATGCACAGAGCAGGGCGGATTGGGAGGTTGTGATGCCACCCTCAGTCACGCTCAGGGTAGGGCCGATTGGGGGTTGGGGCACCGCCCCCTGTCACACTCAAGGCAGGGTCGATGGGGAGGTTGCGGGGCCACCCCCTGTTCACGCAAAGAAGCAGGGCCAATCAGGGGGTTGGGGCTCCTTACCTGTCATGCACAGAGCAGGGCCCATCAGGGAGTTGAAGGAGTTCCCCGCTGTCACTCAAAGAGTAGGGCCGATAGAGGAGTTGGGGCACCGCCCCCTGTCACACACAGAGCAGGGCGGATAAGGGGTTTGGGGCGCTGCACCCTGTCACACTCAGGGCAGGACCAGTGGGGAGGTTATGGCTCTACCCTGTCACACACAGAGCAAGGCCCGTGGAGGGGGGTTGGGGCGCCACCCTCTATCACCCACAGAGCAGGGCCGATCAGGGCGTTGGGGCGCCGCCACTGTCACACTCGGGGCAGGGCCGATGGAGAGGTTATGGCTCTATCCTGTCACACACAGAGCAGGGCTCGTGGGGGGAGGGGGGGGGTTGGGACGCCACACCCTGTCACACACAGAGCAGGGTCGATCAGGGGGTTGGTGCGCTGCACCCTGTCAAACACAGAGTCCCAGGGCAATCAGGGGATTGGGGAGCTCCCCCCTATCAGGCACAGAGCTGGGCAGATAGGGAGGTTGTGGCCCCGCCCCCTGTAACACACAGAGCCGCAGGGCGATCAGGGGGTTTGGGCGCTGCCCCCTGTCACGCTGATCCCGGTGCCGGGAGCCTCACTGCTCTGCTGATCCCGGTGCTGGAAGGCATATTACCCTTTTACTATATAGAATAGAGGCCTGGTGCATATATAGGATAGAGGCCTGGTGCACGGGTGGGGGCTGGCTGGTTTGCCCTGAAGGGTGTCCTGGATCAGGGTGGGGGTCCCCACTGGGTTGCCTGGCCAGTCTGGGTGAGGGGCTGAGGGCTGTTTTCCGGCTGGCGAGTGACTGAAGTTTCCAACCGCTCCTTGTTTTCTTTTTTTTTTTTTATTCTGGGCCAGCTTTAGCTCTGAGGCCTCGCTGCTGAAAACATCGATACAAAGTTTTGGTCCACCTGGCTTTCAGTCCAGCTGGTTTCTGGAGTTTTGTTTATCTTCTTATTTGCAACATAGTACATAGTTGCTTAGAGTTGTAGCTCAGAGGCTGGCAAGTGAGGCGGGGAACATTGGAGTCCGCAGCAAGCAAGCCTCATGTTTGCTTCCAGCTGCCTGGCTGCCGGCCGCCATCTTGGCTGACAGTTAATTTGCATATACTCATGCTGATTATCGAATGGGAAGGGTAGCGGTAGTACGCTAATTACCATGTTTCTCTTTTATTAGTGTAGATAATAGGATGAAAAACCTGTTCCCTGTGGTCAGTGCAAAGTTTCAGAGGAAAATTACAATTGATAGCCAGTTCAAATCAGGTATACAGTCAATTCTCAGTCGTTTATATATCTAAATAATTTCTGTATCGTTTTGTTTTATTTGTTTCTCTTGAAGGTATACATGCTATAGTGGTTCCTGCTCAGGCAACATACCTTTGGATAGTAACAAATAACTCAGGATTGTTAGGAATCACTGATACTGGAGAAGGCTCAGTGGAGTAGGAGGCAGGAGCCATGTGTATTGTGTTCATTTCTGTCACTACCTTTACACACCACTTATATTTCTTTGGCATAAATTACCTTACTCTAAAATAAGAATTTTTTTAAAATATATTTTTATTGATTTCAGAGAGGAAGGGAGAGGGGAGAGAGATAGAAACATCAATGATGAGAAAGAATCATTGATCAGCTGCCTCCTGCATGCCCCCCACTGGGGATCGAGCCCACAATCCAGGCATATGCCCTTGACCTGAATGGAACCCAGGACCTTTCAGTCCGCAGGCTGATGCTCTATCCACTGAGCCAAACCAGCCAGGGCAGGAATTATTTTTTTTTGTAGACTCTTGAGGTCTGAGTCAAATGACCTTTGAGACGTTTTCTAACATTTAATTGGATAGATTCCTTGATGATCATGAAGAAACACTTTAACCATAAATGACCACCATACTATGGGATAACTCTATTTGATAAATGGAGTAGGAACCTAATATTTAATTTTTAAGTAGAAAAACAAATACATGCATACATATTAATATCAATTCTATTCATAATAGCCCCCCAAAAAGAAACAACCTAACTATTCATCGGTTGATGAATGGATAAATAAAATGTGGTACATCCATTGTCAAAACAAAAATTGTACCAGACAAGGTTAAACAGCAAGGAAGACTTTATTCAAAGCTATTGCAATTGGGAAAGAAGCCATAATTAAGTCTGAATTCAACTCCATTGAAGTA